GCAGGAGCCCCGCGTTGAGCAGCATGAGCGTGAGTTCGGTCTTGAGCTGCGCGGCCGCGACGATATCGTTGTTCTGATACAACCTGTGGAACTGCGACTTGCACACGTGCAAATTCAGCATCACAAATACGCACCTGCTTCGGCGCGCGTCAAACCTACCATTCATTCAACTCCTTTGCGATGCGCAGCGCATAAGCCTGCTTGGTAGCTTCGTTCAGCATGACGACCTATGTCTTTACATGTTTTTCCTAGAAAACCCTACTTCAGAGCGCGCCATTAGTGCGCTCTGAGAAATGGAAAAGAACAAATTGGCCGCGAGTCAAACCTGACCTGCGCTATTCAATTTCTCTTAGCCAACCAAAAAAATAGCAATATGGATACAGTTCGTCGACATCGCTAATCAGCGTGTGGTCTAAACTATAGGAGGACTCAATTTTCTTAACTTCGGGATGCCACTGGTCGATGCAGTGGTTTTTCACTGGATCAGGGTTGGAAGGCACGTTGAAAATCACTGCATGTAGCGAGTGACCAAGCGGGATGCCGCTGTCGCGCACCTGGAACAGGCGCGACGCGAACATCGCAGAGCATTCAACCGGGTTGATGCGGTCGCCGTAGCTGTGCAGTAAGAACATGTGCTTGCAGTTGAAGTGCATGGAAGTGAAATTGCTACTCTCGATGAACAGAACTGCTTCTGCGCACTTGATGATAGTCTGTAGCTTGATCGGTTGCTTGAGCGAGTAAGGGTCCTTTTGACCGTATACGGCGCGCTTCGCACTGAGCAAGTTCTTGGCAGAGTACTTTTTGGGGCGGAACGAACTTTGCGGAATGAATTGCTTAAGCTTAATGGCGATGCGGAGCGAATTCTCTGCTAAGCGGTTGTAGAAGATCTCGTGTCGGTTGAGCAGACTGCCGAAGAAAAAGACTGCGTTGATGTGCGCTTCCGCGGCGCGGTTCTGCAACAAGTAGCAAGCAATGATGAGCGTTGTGAGGCTCAAACCGGCGACGTTCAGCTTGAACCGGGGGTCCTTTTGATCGGTCCAGCACGTTTCGCACACTATTTGCATGACTTCATGAAACTCTTCAACCAGGTCGTTGTACACGCGGAAGGTGCCGCGCTTGCCGTTGTAAGCTTCGCTGCGGCCGTGACCTTGCAGGTCGTAGCCGACCACGCAGTAGCCGTGTTCGACAAGGTTTTGCACCCAGCTCCCGTCGTAAAACACTTCGCTGAGCCGTTCGTCTGAAGTGGCCGCATTGAGTCCGTGGCTGAATAAGTCGACAACCTGCTTGTACTCCGCGAGGTAGTTTTTGTATACTTTGTTGAGCGCCTCCAGTGTGGTGCCGAGCGCGCGCTCGTGATCTAAGAAATTTGCGGGAGTGCCGCTGACGGAGAGTCCGGCGTCGGCGGACTGTTCGAGCGAGCGCGAGTAGTTCTCCCACTTTTCGAAACTGCGGTTCATGCGCGCGAGAGGGTGAAACTGCTCGACTTGTTCGTCCAGTGTGAATTTCGCCAGTCCGCGGGAGTCGTTTTTAAGAAAGTCTTTGAAGTGGATCTTGGTTCCCATGACCTCGCGCGCGCGCTCGAGGTCGGAACATTTGTGCAGCCAGCTGAGTCGCAAGTGCGAGTGAATGCCGTGACAGATCAAAAATGTGCCCTTAGTCACGTGCTTCTGGAATATACCGTGGCGCATGGGCGTCCAGCGGTACATCTGAATGCGCAGGTTCTGTTTGTTGGTAAACGTCAGCTCTTCGGGGCATCCGTCGAACTTAAGGTCTCGGGGGTTGCAGGTTTTAAGCCATTTTCGCTCTGGCGAAGAACCCGGTCGCTCAGGTTTGGCGGTCATGGTGCATTAAAGTTTCGAGCAAATTTGGTCACACAGGGACTCCGCGAGAACCGGTCTCTACCCGACTGTACTGAAAATAAAAAACTCGGTTAAATGTGAGAATCTAAATAATAGAGAGTTGCGACTTCTGGCCGAAAAGCTTGCGAATGTCTTTGATGTTGTACGTAATCATGGTCGGGCGCTCGACGCTCAGCCCCCAGCCGAGCACGACCAAATTTTTCGGCAGTCCCATGGGTAACAGCAGTTCGGGTCGAAACACACCGCTGTTCCCAATCTCCGTCCACTTCTTCAGTTTGGAGTGGTAGCCGAATATCTCCATAGACGGCTCGGTGTACGGGTTGTACGCGGGTTTGAACTTCACATTCGTGATGCCGATGTGCGCGAAGAACTCGCGGATGACGCCCATCAGCAGCGCGAGCGACGCGTCTTCCGACGCGACGATGCCTTCGACCTGGTGGAACTCGGCGAGGTGAGTCTGGTCGAGCGTTTCGTTGCGGAAAACGCGGTCGATGGAAAACAGTTTGCAGTCGATTTTCCGCGCGGGGTTTTTCCGGTGTTCGAGCGCAATGTTGCGCAACATGC